CATTAAACTTTTTGATGCTTATGGCTGTTTTGTTCCTCTTCAACTTTTCTGTCGGCTTAACTATATAATCTTAGGAGCAATTCTGCTCCTTTAATAAAAAAAAAAAAAAAAGACTTGTAACCAAATTAATGTAATTCATAAGACAAAGGAGAGGCTTTATCAAGAGGCTTTTTCAAGGCTTTGCAGTTCCAAATGTTTACTGTGCACAAGATAGGTCACAATTCGATCTTGATAATCTTTTCAAAGATTTTTTTTGGTAAAAGTTGTTAATAAAAGCAGACAATGCTTTAAATAGACCTGATCTGAAGAACGAAACTTCAGGGTATCTCACATCAAATTATGGACCTAAGGAGACCGCACATAAGGCAGGGTGTAGAGAAGCCCAATCCATAACAATAGCACTTTCGGTAAGCAAGCTTCGGTAATCCCTCCGTCTCGATAAGGATGTTTACGCGTTTATTCCTTGAGTGTAGCCGTCTGTGGAATGAAAGTGATACCATCTTATTACCATCGAAGCAGCTAGCTTTACAATGACACGTTCGTTTATCCGTCATAACCTCTGGCCTTTTGTCTATATTAGTGCCACATATTATCCGATTACACTAACGCGAGTGACTTTCACTAGATAAATAAAAACATAAAAAACTTACTCTCTGTTACACACAGTTTACATTAGTTTAAAGCAAATGCAGTAAGTGTTGAAAAATGAATAAAATATTTTAAAATTTAACTCCCATTTTTTCGATTTTAATGTAAAACGAAGTTGATCTTAAGCATATTTCAGTGAACGTTTTCATTTTTGACATGAGGTCTTTAACAATTTCAAAGGGAAAACTTTATTTCATTTCATTCGTTTTATATTTTCCATAGTAATAGGAAAAGTTTTAAAAAAAAACTTTTTTTTTTATATTTTTTCACTTTCCCAACGATGAATTGCGAACCGTTTTCAAGTCCACCGCAGAAAATTAATCTGGAATCTCTGCGTGATTCAAATAAGTTCGAGACGGCCAAAAATAAGAATCAAAATGATGATAATATGAGGCCAAAAATCTCGTATCGTTCTTATGATTATTATATTTTTCCAAAATTTACCGATCAATTTAATCATTTAAATAAATATTTATCATTGCGCGGAAATAAATATTTGGCCTGCAGATGGAATCAGTTTCTTGATAATACTCCCGATGACTACGTCTACATTCGTTCATATGCGGATTATTTAGATAGTCTTAAGTAAGCTTCTTATATAAAAGTTGAATTATGAAAAAAACTTTTTTCACTTTGGAGTAAGAAATTGCATTTATTTCATTTTATTTTATTTTATTTTATTTTTTTTTTTTTTTTTAGGATGAAAGGGCTAGCAAGAAGAAAGACATTGAATGGCCGATTTTATGGTATTGACAATAAATTAGCGCCAATACCAGTGGTACCTAATCCTCGGAGAAAAACAATAAAAATGACTGCTTCGCATCCTAGACAGGGGTAATATAAAGCTGAGTCGCATCGAAAAGCGAATTTGCAGCAGAGATTGTATAAAAAAAAATTAAATGTATTATAATAAGGGAAATACAAATAGTAATAAAAAAAAAAAAAAATAAAAAAAATAAAATGAAATAAATGCAATTTCTTACTCCAAATACTTCAGAGAGAGACGATCAATCACAACTAAAGGCCATCAAAATGGAATTATGAAAAGTTGGATGTGCTAACACAAAAACAAAAAAATTATAATAAACAAAAAAACATGCAGTCACTTTCAGGATGAATTTAGTTTAGTTTAGCTTAGTTCGATTTATTAAATAATGAGTAATTATTAATGATAATCACTAATTACTAAAATTATTAATCAATAGAGTCCCTTTCGGCAACAGTCAAGGTACAAGGTATATAACACCAATATCGCACAACAATAATATCATACAATATAAGATATACAGGCAAGATCCAGATGTCGTCATAGATTGGAAGAAGTATTCATAGCTGATGGATTGGTAACGAATTCCGTTTACAGCATTAACCGCAAATAACTTTGATGATGTTAAGTAGTTGTGTTCACATAGAATTAGAACCATCGTCCCATCACAAAAGCGACAATCGTCCTCAAGGGTGGCAAAAAGATTTTAAGTCTTTGCACACATTTTGACATTGACTTGATCCAATTACGTCGGGCACGCCTAGTCAATGTTATAGAACATTAAAGTTTCATTTTCTTATCAAAAAGTATAACGTAAGGTTTATACTTTCAGGAGTAACGTGCAGAAGGACCTTAACAAGTAGATATATTCTTGATTTGATTTGGTTATGTCCGGCCGTCATCTCAATAAAAGACTGAAACAGAAAATTGAAATCTATGAAGTGTACATTATAACTTTATAATCCTTTTTTTAATACCTGGTAAAAGAAGAAATAATTAATATATAAAAATTCTGAAAATTTTTGAAATCAGTCATAGGACTGAGTGCAAGCCTTAGGACACATCCAAATAGCCGTTGCATGAAAAGGATTTTCATCGGTATATCGACACGTTAACATTTAACAACAAATAGCAAACCTCGCCATTCTTATTGAGGTAACAAAATGCTTACATGTTTCTGGTTAACTTTACGGCCTGACAGGCAATTATCTAAAGTCATAAATTTGTAGTCCATATCTCTTTGATCACCGTATATCCATCCGACTAATTCGATAATACAATTATCAGAAATTGTGACTAAACGAATTTTATTTGATTATAAACTACGGGGTAAACCAAAATGAACATTTGCTTTGAATTTATATTTTGACGGCGCTTTATGAATCGAATGTCACGATGCAAAGGCCATAAGCGACATTTTATTGCATCATTTTTAATTCCATTTTCGATTTGGTTAATTACCATCGTTTCAAAACGACTTTGTTTTGCACTTAACGATAATTAGGGTCAAATATTACTTCAATTTGATTGAAATCAATTTCTTAATATATTCGTCAAATTTGGACATAATGTATAGATGACTTTGCCGTTACGGATATATACGTTTTATTAAGCGCAAACAGAATATTATACATAACATCTAGATTTCCAATATCGAAGCATAGCTATAGATGGAGAAAATACGATTAATTAAATATCTGCTCACTACGGTACATCCCCTTATAAAATCGAGCAACTTTGCATAGACATTTCAATATTGAAATATGTTTTGTTGATACTTACGCCTTATACATATATAAAATATATTTTATATTGAAAAGACGTGCGAGTGAGAAAATAAATAAATAAAAAAAGGCGATGAATCGTGATATGCCTTGTGAACCTATTGATGAGCAACCGCAAAAAGATATTTTGATTGGCGCATTAAAAATACCAGAGGAAACGAAAAGTGATCACGATGCGTTAGATGATTTCCGCCAGAAAATCACGTACAGACTGGAGAGTTATGATATATTGCCGTTAATGCACGATGAAAATCAACGTTTAGAAGTATTGTTATCGTTGCGTAATAATACATACTTAAAACTTCGTTGGAATAAATTTGTAGAAAGCGGATCAAACAAAAGTCTTCAGCTACGTTTATATAGAGATTACAAAATGGATTTGCTGAAGTTAGTTACATTATTGCGTTTCTGTTTAAATTTGATAATTAATTTGGCATTCAATTGCAGGAAACCTTTAGCTAGACGAAAATCCTTAACTGGTAACTTCTTTGGTGCAGATAACAGATTAGCACCTGTTCCACTTCCATCCAAGCAAACGAAATCAGACGAGTTGCATAAATTTAAGGAAGAATCATCAAAAGCATGGAGATATTAATATATGAATACAATTCCCTTCACATATACATATAAAATATGTTTGTGTTTTTTGAAACACTACCGTAAAGAAATAAATGAGTCTTTCCATAAAGCGGTGAACATGAATTTGTGTTCTAAAGATTTTTCCTTCTCAGCCTTCAATCTTTTTTAATTCGGCCATATTTCAACTTAATATAAAGTCTGCAGACTAAGATCTTAGTAACCCTGAACGCCATCGGATGTGTTTGGCTGAAAGCGCCCATTAATTTTGTTTTATAAACCTTACCAATTTTTAAAAATCACAATATTTTCATGGTTTGACTGCTGGATTGATTATCGGACTGTTAATCTATTGTTTGTAGCTATGTTAATCTATTGTCAGGGCGGCGCGGTGCAGCTTTCCGTCACGTGTTCTTGGTAAAAATTTGAAATGGGAATAGTATGCATGTATGCAATAAATGTGAATGTTCTATTCGTGGTAAAGGTCTGATCGATCCATCGTCAAGGCGAATGTGGCAAGTTGTACCATCAAGCCGCTGTGTACTTTGAATTTGATCAATTTTCGCTCAACGTGCTGCCTAATGACAGTTTCGTCCATTCTATGCGTCACGACTGCTTTTCAAATTCAATCAGCGGCTATTAGCAAAGCATATCTACATAAAGTGCCGGATATGTTCATGGATAAATGGATGAACAAACGACTTTGAATCGCACTCTGACCAACAATACACTTAATTAATGAACTGTCTAATATTTGCTTTAATCAAAAATCTTGAATACATCATTAACATTAATATGCAAATTGGTTGGGCGTAATAGGGCGTTAAAATAGAAAATAAGGAGACAAAAGTGCTCGGTAATAAGATGCTGTCAGATGAGATTGGCAAGATCAATGAAAAGATTAAAACTAATCTTGCGCCAACTAACCACCAGGACAAAAGATCATCTTTAAAAGAATGTAGACCCGAAGTCTTTGAAAATTTCTAATGTGGTCTGCAGGAGCAATGACGTTGCAATGGCAACGAGGAAAGAGAAAATGCTAAAGCCATTATCAAGAGTACCATGGCGGGCGATTATGACATTGTGATATCAAGCAAGTTGAACCTGCGATTTAAACTAATTGACATGAGCTTCAGTTATGGCAAAGGGGAACTTCTTGACAAACTGCGAAGTTAGAACTCGGGAGTACGTATGCAATATCCAAACAAGATAGCACACACTATAACGCTGTGGTGGAGACAGACAGTTCTTTACTAAGGTTTTGGCGGCTGTCATCTTATTTGTTTGTTGGGGAAAGTGCCACGCTTTTGACGGAACTAAATTGACTGTGTCCTTTAAGGTAAGGTATTGTATAACATTTTTAATTATTACTATTAGTTGTTTAATAATCTAAAATTAAACTAATATTACGTAAAAAATCCCTTAATAATTTTTTTAATTCAATTCAAGTTTGTCGTATCCCCATTAAAGGGAAGCTTGCCAAAATCTGGTAACATCGTCTCATGTGAATGTAGTGTGAAAGAAAGTATAGATAATTTGTGAAAATTTGTCAAGAAATTTGTGATAAAAGTAAAAAATTTTCATGAGAACTCGTTTATCGTTAAATGTATAATAAACTTAATTAAAACGAAAGGCTTATCAAACAATTTACTGTGAATTACATTAAGTTAAACGAGAAAAATAATTTCGTAGGTATTTTCATGTATGTAAAGATATATGTATGCATAAGGGTGCAGTGGCAGAAGCAGCCAGAAGTTAAAAAAAAAAAGGAAAATGCCTAAAAATTACAACCGTGTTTCTACCGTAAAAGCTAGCGAAAAATTCAGTCATATTTGATTCATACAGCAATGAACAAGATATGTGAGAGACGCACGCGTTTTCCTATTTTAATTTGAGGTTAAGTCAAAAACTTACTAGAATAATTAAATAAAAATAAGGTGATGGAGATTGCAAGACTTTTCTAAACCGAAAAGAAACATTATTCGCGATATGAAGTGCGTGAGAACCCACGTCTTTTTAAAAATATTTCAAGAAAGAAACCCAAATAAAGCATAAAACGAAATTCTCCGTATGCTATAATTTTTTACAATTATAATTAAGGCCGAGACTTTGCTTCTTGATTAGAGATTTTTTTTGTCACGGTTTATGTTAAGTACGACATTTTATTGGTTGCTTACGAAATGCATCGAAAGCTTGCTACTATTTTGCGACATCTGTGCGATTATAGCGTTTTCTCTTTTGTGTCCCTTTCATGAATTCGCTCGTTTAAAAAAAATTAAAAAAATTCGCCGTATTTTTTGGTCGTCATTGTCGTCGGTGTAAAAATGTGTGTAAATGAATTTCGTTAAAGTTTCGTTAGCACATCGTGAAAATTCTTGAAAAAATTTGGTGAATAATTAAGAAAATTACCAGAAAAATGTAAAAAAATTTAGAAGAAATTCATTTGAAAATTACATACATAAAAAAGTATATAAAAATTCTACATAAAATTATATAAATCTTATGACTGACAAATACCAGGAAAAAATGTGAAAAATGAAAGGCTTTGAAATCAGATTTCTGTGTGTGTGCAAAAGATAAAGATTCGACGTCGTCGTGAACCCTGTGATGAAATAATTGGGAAACTTTTTAACTTAAAAAAGGCCATAAACAAATATTTTAAAAGTGTTGTAATAAGAATGAAAAGACTATAAGATTTTTGAAAGTATCTATTTCGCCCTTTATGCCAACACGCCCCTTTGTAGAATTTTTCTATTCCTTTTTAAGTGCAAGATTCGTTAGATGTTTCTTTGTCGAGTATCAAACACTCGTACATAAAAGAGTATGACAATTTCTTCTGTGTGGAGTAAATGTGTATGTGTACATTTTATTATTCATCAAGTAGATTTTTTTTTTATAATAAAATTTTCTTAACTTGGGACGGAATTCATACTTTTCATAATTAAAGCGAAATAAAAGTATTTAGCTTTTTACGATTATCACGTTATTGATAATGCTGATAAAATACAATTCGAATTATTTAAAGACTTATAGCCAAAGAATAGATGGTTTAATTTTGTTAATTAAGATCTTATTATATATTACGTATATATAAGACTTTGTTAAATATCCGCATTTGCTTAAGGCGAATAGCAGAAAGCGTGTGAAAGAAAAAGGACAAAAGTCAATACAGAGTTGTATCGAATTTATTTTTTTTTTCTTATTTTTTCTTATTTTCTATTGTTAGCAAATTTTGTTCACTTTGTTGTTTATTTAATTGCAGAAGTTGTCTGATTATAGCACAAACATGTGTTTCTCATCCATATAACAATTTCAACTTATAATGCATTTTTAATTGAAATTTTTTAAAAACGTGAATACTTTTAGGTAATAATGTAATGTATAACCGGCAGAGTTAACCCGACCCGTACATATGTGTGTGCACGAATAATATCGCTTTTTAATTCAAATTGTATATTGCAACTTAAATGTAATATTGAAATGGGTCAACAATAATTTACTGCATTTTATCACCTTGTACTAGAAATTATTTAGCATAGATTTTTATGTATACAGATATATAGGCAATAAATTCGTTTAGGCAAACCTATGTAAGATCAATTTTATGAAGATAGCATTTGGACTCTAACAATTTATCGATAATTGTTTGAAACAATTTTTTGAATACTTTACACTTCGTAAGAAAACCGATAGCCTAAATCTAATTATTCTTCAATACTTAATTCAAATAATATAATTCGATTTTGTTTCGAAAGGATTATTATATAAGCTGAAAAAAGGAAGCAACCAAAAATAAAATGGATACCTGAAAAAGTCTTTTTTTTTTATCGCATCTTTACAAGCTGCTATTAAAAGCGTTCCAATTACTTTATGCGTAATCATGGGACTTACAAGAAAACTTTATGTCGCCTTGCCTGCAAAATGCTTTTTAAATGTAATGCGGAACAAAAAAAAGGAGAATTTTATAAATTTTCACAACCAATTTCCTTTAGCTGCTTATTTATTTATATTTTTGCTTTTTGTAGAACAAAGTGATTAATAGTTATTAACAAAGTGTAAACACTGTACGAAAAAGAGAGAAAATAAACTGTGTTAATTGGCCGAAAAAAGATATTGTGGAATTTTTTTCCCAGTTTACATATTAATAAAACAACAACAACAAAAAAGCAGCAAAACACTTCTGCTACAAAGAGAAGCGCAAAGGTAAAATCACTTCAAAAGATAATCTGCGAAATTTTATAGAAAATGAATAAAGATGATCTAAATAAAAATCTGAATAAAACGACGGCTGCGCCAGCAATATCTAAAAGCAACCATAATAATAATAATAATAGCTCCGAAATTGCACAACAACAACAACCAAAATCTAATGCAGTAGCAGCAATTTCAGCATCCAGTTCGAAATCAAGGAAGAATAATAATAGCCTTAAGTTGGCTGCAGCTACAGCAGTAGCTGCCACTATAGCCACTATAGCTACCAACAATAACAATAACGGCAATAATAGTATACCTCAAAATCCCCCGAGTAGTAGCAAAAGATCTTCGAAGCAGGTCAATACTACAGGCCGTCAAAATCCTTCGAATTCCTCTTTTTCAGCTTCCTCCGTTTCAAACGTCGTAGATAATCAACAGTTCATAAAAACAACAACACAAGCAGCTGCCGAACTGGATGCAACAGTTATTCCTGCCGCGACACCCATACCTGCTGTTACTTCGGACTTGGCAACAGCTAGATTGAAAAATATCAATAGTAATAACAAATCAAAGCTGAATAAAATTTGTAACAATAACCATACCCTGCTATCAAACACCAATTCCAACAATTCCTGCTCTACTAATAATATAGCAGCTAGCACTGCCCATGGAAACAAAATGTCCAAGTCAGCAACAACAGCGATCACACCATCTGTTAATGCCAAAACTCCTGCTAATGCCACCAGTTTGTCTGCAACTGCAACAACAACAACAACGGGAACTGCTACTACTGCTAGCACCCCAAATTCCCCTAACGGGAATGACGCGGTGGCTCCAGCGTCTTTGGCCGATCCTCCATCAATCCCTTGTTCAGCGTCAACTGCAACCGCCACCGGTACAGTACCCGCCATTACAAATGGCAATAAAACGAATGCAAACGCGTCCAATGCAGGCGGTGGCTCAACAAAATCTTCGGCGAAAAAATCGTCGTCCGCTGCGGCCGCCGCAGCAGCTGCTCTCGCATTGCAACAACAAGTTGTGGCTGCCTCCTCATCAGCTAAATCCTCAAATTCATCATTCACAAAGACTGGGTCATCAAAAGATGCCCATTTAAAGTTCACTTCCGCCTTACCATTGCTTGTTGGATCAGCAGCTACTCTAGCAGCTCCATTGGCAGCAGCAGCCGCTGCTGCCGGTTCTAGTGCCGGCGCTCAAGCAGCAGCTGTTGCAGCAGCTGCGCTGAAGCAAAAGCTTAAGAATGCAGCCGCTGCTAGTTCAGCTGCTGCTGCTGTTGCTGGCAATTCCCGCTCCAATTCAACGTCGACATCTTCAAATTCATCATCACTCTCCTCGTCAGTGGGTATAGTAAATGCCATCTCTAATGCTCTGCAGAACATCATTACGAGTGATAATTCAGATACCGACACCGAACTATATCCGCCTCCAGTCACCGATCTCTCGGAATCAGATGAGGAATCTGTCTCAGAAGTAAGTTCATATGAGTAGTACTCTTATTTTACTATTTTAATTTGTTTGTATTGGTTTTTGTTATGAAAAAAAATATTGCCTACTTTTTGGTTGAAGAAAATAAAGTAGAAGAGATAATGACGACTTCATCCTTTTCTACGCGCGAATGAAAAAATTCTTTATGATAAGTAATCCATAGAGAGAAATTTAAAAGATTTGGCAAATAATCGTTCATGTAGGGGAGGTATGCATCGTTTTCGTTATCAATGGATAAGATATGAAGTCAGTTTAGGAACATGCGCGGATGAGCGCGCGCGTAACGCTTCAAAACATCTCTGCTCAAGGATGTTTTTCTTTTACGTTTTCACGAAGTATCTCAGAATGCACATCCATTGCCTCGATACTTTTTTTTTTTTTTGGCTTCAAAAGACCAAATAGCAAAGTAGTCTGGTTTATTCGTTTGGTTATGGATAAGACGTATTGTTGTAATAAACTGCCTTTTCAATAAAAAAGGAGAGAAAATCAACTTCGAAAAACCAAAAAGCAGGTGAGATCACTTTTGCATGCAATATATTGCTATCAAAACTTCGTGTCGAAGTGGCACTCACTGTTGATAATGACTTAAATCATTTTTTGCGGAAATCAACAATTGTAGATATAACGTATCCGAGCTAATAAATAATCATCAATTCCCTGATATTCGCATGAATTGGTAGAGTGATTAAAAATCGCGACTATGAAGAAGCCTATGTTCACAGATTCAAATCTCAAGCGTTAAAGTGTTTACTTTGATTGTAGCTATACTGGGCTACCATTGGGCACATATCCACCACCCTCTTATCTTACGAAATTTACGATGGATTTGAATAGCAGACAAGACATTTTTGATTGCATTCATTATAAATTAATGTATATAGAACCAATAATTAAAAAAATTTGTTTTGCCAAAAATTAAATGTTTTTATCCCCAATTTTATTCAAGTCAATTGCTCCTATTGTCGTGTAAGAGAAGCCCCACAGCAGGGGTCATTATTCACTGGGTAAATAAATCGATCAAATTCGAAGCACTTATGATATGTTAAGCAAGCCTTCCAGGTGGAAGCGTAATGTCACTAATATTTTTTTTCAAATCATATCTATGTTAACTTTTTTATGTCCAATCACAAGCTTGTTGTGGTAGTTAAAATACGGCTACATTTAAAGCTAGTTGTTTGTTCTACGCGTTATAGAACAGTGATGAAAAAAATATTCAAGATTGTTCTCGCTATTAAAAATTAAAAAAAAAAAAAAAGCAAAAGATTATTAAATACAAACAAAATAAGAAAAAGAAACGACACGACACAATGGTTTGCTAATGTTGTTTACGTAAATTTTTGAAAATTAAGTGAGAAAATAAGTAAACATTTAATGGTGCTCTAGCTTTGGCTAGACCGGAGCGGGAAAGAAATACTTTCTACAAAACGGACGGGCCGAGTTATCTGTCAGTCATGCACAATAAGCAAGAAAGCACATCGAGAACGTGCTTTTGCAGTTTCATTTCTGCTTTATATATATTTTCTTCACATACAAAAAAAATATATTTTTTGTTGTCATCTTTCTTATCGTAGTCAAAAACTTTGCGTACACTTTTTTTTTTTATTACTTTCAGGTTTTTTTTTGTTTTTTTGTTTTTTTTTTTTTTAAATAAATACAAGTGGGGGGATGTATTATACACATGTGTACATTACTTTTTCTTATATTCTTTTTTTCTTTTGCAAAATATGACGATCATAGCTGAAGAGGATAAAAGACAATATGTGCGAAATAAATTTTAGAAAAGGCAAAGCATTAAATTTTAACAAAAGCATAAAAAAATGAACTCGTTAAGGATAAACAGCGTTGGAAAAATGTTTGACAATGAATTTTTATATGTATGCGTTATATGTTCGCCGATTATATAAACTGAAAATGGGTAGTGTTTAGTGTAGTGTTTTTACTCCTTTTTTAACATAGAATAATTTTTCAGCTGTAAGTACTGCCGATCGGCTTAATATATTTTGGCCGGGCATTCTTTTGACAATTTCTGCTTAATACCTTACCTGGCAGCAGTACATGCCATATTTACTTCTCATGCATCGTTCCTAGTACGCGCTCAAAAAGTTAATAATTATCAATAAACGCTTTCTTTTGGATTTATCAGAAAATTTATATGTTTCGCTAAGGCCCGTGTGTCGCTATCGACGCTACGACGCCTAAAATAGTGATAAGAACAATTTTTTTTGGCTTTTGATATATTAATTGAAAAAATGGAGCTTTGAGCACAAAAACAGGGTGTAGTGAAGCGGTACCACGTGCGCAGCTTTCGCTGAAAAATGCATAATATCAAGTTAACTGCAGAAGCCAATAATAATTGAAAGTCATCCAAATGTGACACGTTCTTCTATTAGCCTTCAAGTTCGCCACCTGTTACATGTTCAGAATGAATTTAAATTCATTCATCATGAAAGTCTAAAAGAAATAAGAGAACTTTAGGGTAAAATTTTTTTCAGCTTTGATTGCAAAATTTTTTCTTTTATTTGTGCTTGTCGTTGTCTACTACGTGTTTAATGAAAAAAATTGTATACATCTTTAGCGTAATGTTTAATTTCAAGGCAGATCGACTAAGCGGAAAAACTCTTAGCGATAGCTAAGGTACTTTTTAAACCAAACCACGAAGTTGTGATCGAAATTTCAATAAACGGACTGACAGACAAGCCGATTAAAACCTTAATACTGTGTCCAAAAAATAGGACCAATATTGAAGTCAAATTGCGCGCGTATATCGGATATAAGAATATGTATGATTTTTCTAAATCGGTAGCACGGCGATAGGCAAAAACGATTTTAATGTTTCAGCCGCATTTCTTTTTGCACGACTTAAAGAGGATTTTTTCTGATTTTATTGAGCACAGAATCAGTCGTAAAACCTATTATTACGGGAGATGAGATTTGCATCTACGCAAACAACCAATCAGTCGAGAGAATATCGTGCAAAAGTTGAATCAAGATGAAAAAAACCGCGCCAGAGTCGCTCAAAAATCAAAGTGATGTTAACAGTTATCTTCGAATGAATGCAAAAGAGACAGACAGACAGATAAGCTAATATTGATTGAAGTGAATCTGAATCGATTATTATAGGTTTCTGAAGAGTTCGCACCGAGAACACAAGCAGCGCCTGTAGGGTATAATGAATAAGTAAATATTTTCTCGATTTTCTCTCGTGAATTTAATTTAAAACTTTTATCATATAAACATTTTGCAATTACACAAATAATAAATTCTTCAAACCGTCTCTTGAAAAATTGTACACCGTCAGGGGCGTCGGAGAAATAATTTTTCGTATTTTATATTTGGGAATTTCTTTATTATTTTTTAGCAAAAAAAAAAAAAAAAACCCCTTCTCTTAATGATTTTCGTTGTTATCACAAAGTCGGTAAGAATAATTCAAAACAAAAAAAAAAAGTAGCAAAAAAAATTGTGCAGAAATATAAACTGATGTTAAAACGAATCATAAGCTTCCAATATCTCAGCTATCCTCTGTACATCTTGAATTTATTCATAAAAATATTCTGTGCACAATAACACGCGAATGCAAGTTCACCTCATTTTTACATAAAAAATGTTAATGAATTTTAGTTTTTACCCGCAATTTTTCAATATTGGCAACACCGTTCGTCCAGCATGTACTTCCGAACGTTGCAAATACAACGTTTCAATGTGTTGTTTAATGCATTGAATAGTTCGTCTGTCATAGATGATGTGTCTAACAAGTTAGACATTTTTATGTAGACAAATGCTATCATTTAGATAAATTGTTTGCATATATATATATATATGTATATTTATATATATATATAGCAAAGATATGCGAATCATTCTTACGAAATTATAGACCAAAAGAAACAAAAAAAAAGTAAATAAATGGAAGTGTTTTTCATCGAAAAGTACAAAAGTATTTCGTTTAATTTTTTTATTTAACTATGAAATTTTATTTATGCTCATATTCTTAAGCGACCTTTAAAACATTTTTGTACTTCTCTTTTGTTTTTTTTTTTGCCTCTCATTTTTATATTTCTCTTACGCATACATATATATAGGCAAGTTTTCTTCTTTTTTACCATCATCAACATGAGGAGAGAAATTTATATAAAAATATAAATGCACCGACCGACCGACCGACCTGCATTGTGAATGAGTATAGAATGATGCGTAGCTTTATAAATTGAACAGAGGATAAAAAGTGAACGAATTCATAAATTTTATTTTTAATTATGCATGCAATCGGAATACATTGTGTATTATTATTATTATTATTATTATTATATGTACTTATTGTGAATGGCAGAAGATATATATGTATATATATATGTATATATATATATATTTGAAATTTTTCAATTCATGAAAAGCGCATATATATATATAGGAAGGTGAAG